ATTATTTTTTGCTTAAATGGGTTATGTTACAAGATATTTTATATATTTGTGCATCTGCTGTCTAATTCAAACAGTATTTTTATAATTACTGACATACTAATGTAAATAGTAATTGAAAATGCCTTAAGATATAAACCATGAAACAAGTACAAAAACTTTTAAATAAGCTTAAATTGCTACTTTTTAAAAATTCATGTGAAGAATCATGATCATATTTCTTGCTAATTGTTTTAGCTTTTATTCAAAGTAAATGATGTACTGGATTTTAACCTCTAAAAATTTGGGTTCAGACCAGCATTTGAGTCATAAATTAAATGACTTAAGTGGTCTCCTTCTTCTTCCCAGTGGATATTTTCCCATGTTGTAGTTTCATCACAAATGGCAGTTTTGGTTTAAATATTCCACTCTTAAAATAACAAGAATAATGCAGGTCACTGCTAAGTCATTACTCCCAGTTGCCATATATTGAATTTGAACTGCTTTGCATGATGTGAAACATCATAACTCATATAATTATTTCAAACATGATTATTTTCCATTTTAAAAATTCTGGTATTTCTCAGGATTCAAAAAAAAAAAAAAATCTGGTATTAAAATCAGGTCGGTTTTATTTAAAATTTCCTCTGGTTTTGCTACACCCATCGCTCAGCATGTTGTACCAAACACAAAGCGGTAGAAGCTGGTTGTTCCTTTTCTCTGCAGGTGAAAAATGGTGAACAGTCCGCACTGCATTTTGTAGCGTCAAGGCAGCCAAGAAATATGGGGGTGTTTTTATAATGTATTCACTTGATACACAAATTTTGATTTCATAATCACATCTATTTCTGATATTAATGGTATTGGCTACAGTCGCTCTTTAAAAACTGTTCATTTGATATCACGATTTTTTATTACAGTTGGTGTTTTTTAAGAAAGTACAATAGTAATTTGATTTCTACTTCTAGTACATGTACTGTAGCTGGTTTATACTGATACTGTTTTTTTTTTCATAATGACAGGGGGGCTATAATTGTGAATATGGATTCTCGCTGAGTAAAAATCAAATTGACCCTCTCACAGATAAAATAATTACACTTCAGCAAAGTCTGTGCAGATGGGAAAAGAGTGATGAACGAGTTCTCGTTGCATTTCTTTTCAGAGGCTTTGTAGAAAGTTATTTTCTCTCTGTAGAGTGCCTTTTCCTTCTAAACCATGATTTAGCAAGCATTGTCCTACTCCTCTCAATCCGTCACTGCCGGCACTTGTCCCTCCCTAGCAGGAGACAGGGTGCAAGGCCAGTTCTGTCCCATGGAGCAACATTGTCCCACTCTCATTTGCTGTTTCTCTCTGGTTAGGTTTTTAAGCATGTGGCTGGACTCTGAATTTTGCAGGCAATTGTTTCAGTGCTGAGCCTTTTTGGTTTCTAAGGTGACTCTCCATGAGCAAACGA